GGTTAAACTGAAGTCATGGCAATGACATTATGCTTAAATATAGAACTTGACTGTCATCTTGCTGCAGTTTACTATCTGGTTTTAGAGGATAAAGGAGCCCAGTTCTGTATTACTGACCAACATTCTACATTCCAAATATTAAGATGTGGGAATTACAAAACTCAAAGCTGTCTAAAAGTTTTGAGATCCATTTAAAGGATGTGTGTAGGCCTTTGCCCCAAACGTCTGCATAAAAGCTCTAGAACTCCCAGCACCTCACAGAACACTTTTGCTAAATCTTCACTTGTTATAAATTTGGCCTTTTGTTTCATAAGGTAATTCTGGATTCTCATTTGTAGCTTGACTTTTGAACAAGTTCAACACAGGCAAGTTCTTAACAGTTGCAGTGTAACTTTTTCATACCCACCTTCTTGGTGACAAATACCCATCCAGGGATTAGAGATCAAACCCAGGACTTCACATATACTGGGCATGCACTCTACCACTGAATTACACGCCCATCTTTTGAGCCTAAAAAGTTTAACACAGTATCTCCTTTTCATTTTTAGTAAAATAAACTTGGGAGACATCCGGGGTGACAGGAATGCCAAAAGCCAAATTCACTGCTGTTAAACCCAAGCTCTTAAAATATCAAAGGTGGAAACACGCATGTATACACTTTTCCTGACATGGTGGAGTATGTACCATATTGCCTGGTGGGTATCATGGTGCCTGGTTGGTATTTTTTGATCACAAGATATTTTCAAGGTCCTAACTTTACAAGGTTTTTTAAAACAATCATTAAAACCACTTGGCAATAAAAAGTTAAACTGATCTATTACCACTCCTGAATCTGCTTTACACTCGTGATAAACAGGTCCTTGAAAACGTTTCTTAGTACATGATCAATGTTAAGTGTTTGTTGTGGCACACAATTCTTCCATTCCTGGTCTGCTTTCTAGACGACATGGTGGATAGTAATACAAGCAGATGCAAGTCTTCAACATTTTGGACATTATACTGATTTACAGGAGTACCTACAAAGGTAAGCACCACTCATAACCTTAGATCCAATAGCTTAAAACAGAAAGAGTATCATTTAACACATGAAGTGTAAGTTAGAAGACACTTTACCCAGATCATTTAACCTTAAGAGTTAACCCAAAACATCAAGGCCAGCTGGTCTTCAACTTGCTGGTTTTGATAAAGCTCCCTCTCCCTCTAGCGGCCAAGTAATTCCCACTTGTATAAGAAGTGCAGAACACTAAAAAATTACCTTTCAGTACTTTTACAAATTAAAGCTATTTTGTTCTAAGTGTATATAATGGAGAGGCAAGTGTCATATCTTGAAGGATATCACATTTCCAGTATCTTTTGATACTAACAATTCTACCAAGAGTTGAGACATTTTAACCTGGCACTTGAGTATTACTTTTTGTACTGAGAAAATATCCCGTGGAACTGTTGTTTATCTTACATACCCATCTAAGTTAACATTATGATGCTTTTTCACAATCCAGCCCAACATCCACTAAAACTCTACAAATTGGGATGGAGGTGAAGCTCAATGATACAGCATTTATTTACCATGCATGAAGCTCTAGGTTCAATCCCCAGTACCTACTCCCATTTTTCTCTCCTAACAAGGTCTTGCTCTGTAGTTCAGGCCAGCCTTGCACTTATAGTGAGCCTTCCGAGTGCTGTCATTAGTTATGTCCCACTATATTCAGCACAATTTATGGTATTCATTTCTATATACTAGTGAAGCACCAAATGATTTTTACAATAGGGAAAAATATGCTTCTCTTGATCCCTACCAACAAAATGAATTTCAGGATTGTCAGACATAGCCTTTATACCTAGCAAAAATACTTCAAGTTTTCAGTGACAGGAATAAACTTTGGAGTATACAGTTAACTTCTTGGGTGTCTAAAGCAAAAATTATTTTTTGCCAGGATTATTTTACCCAACCACTGTAATAGGAATTAACTACTTTTCCCTAACCGCTACACTTCATGTCTATCTCCTTCTCAAAGGATCACATTTGCCAAGCTTCCTGTAAATACCAAAATAGTAATAAATACATTGTACTATATGTTCTGGTTCAATGTCCTTCAGTAATTATAAGTCTACTATAGCTGAAACAAAGAAATGTTGGTCATACTTATTTTTCTGAAAGTTGTGTGGGCCTTAAAAGATGAGCTACTTTAATCTCAAAAGACCAAAACAGATTATACACAAAAAGTCACAGAAAAATGCTACATATTGTGTTACAGTTCTACAACCCCTTACCCAAACTCTTGTGGGGAGGATGTATTGGACTCATGGCTGCTTGCCTTTACATCAAGAATGGTATATACATGCTCTACCAGTGGTGGTTACCGTATGGCACATGTGCCATAGTGGGCTGTATCACTGAAAGCTCTTAAAGATTGGCCATTGTTGCCCTATACTACTGTTAACAGTTAAGTTTAGGGCCAATATGTAATGATCAACACCACTCATTTCTGCAGAAAAAAATGTTTAGTCACACTATAGGCAATAACGAAGGTAACACAACAAAAAATACCCGAGGTCTTGCTATGCAATGCATGCAGTACTTGAATTCAAGAGATCTTCCTGTTTTGGTCTCCCATGTGCTGGGCTAAGAGGCACATATCCTCCCACCCAGGTACTGCCCATCCCCATTTTCTTCTGTTTATGTAGTTTAGGCTTGCCTTGAACTCATTATGTAACCTGGGATAGCTTCAAACTAAGCAAACCTCCTGCCTCAACATCTTGAGCACTGGCATTACAGGTGTGGGCCACCACAGTGAAGGCAATTTTGATCACCTTTTCCAAGTAACTGTCAACAAATAACTTCTGAATTCAGGGTTTTACATTTCAGATTACCGGTAAGACTGCAAACTGTTTTATGCATTTGCACTTTTCATAATGTGATGTTAAACCAAAGGTGGTTAAGTTACAACAGAACTTCATTCTGAAACTTTTCCTTTTAATACTATTTGTGGTAAATACATAACTTGATTTGTAATTTTATTACAAACTTCATATATAAAGCAAAAAGGCACACAAGAAATTCACCTTGACCAGAAATCTGAAAATATAACCAGTCTTATTAAGCATATTTTACAGACAAAACTGAGAAAAATTTAGATTCTGGAATTACACTAAATTCAAGCACTAGAAGATTAAGTGAACACTTAAAATTTACTAAAAATATAAAACTTCGGAAAAAACATTTTAAATCAAGGGAATTTACATTTCAAACAGCACTTTAAAATAATAATTTAGATCCCAAGCAATTTACGAATCAAAAAGTAGGTTTCTTACCTTGTCTCCAATGGAATGTAGGCTGCACAGCAAACTGGGTTATTCAATGTTGTTATGAAAAGTTACTGCTTGCTTCTTAAAGAGACCTAAGTGCTTTCTTAGATAAATTTACAGGTTTCCTATATTAAATGGGACATGGGGAAAATTTCAATGCAGTTATAAAATAGTTCCACTTCCAACTGCTGATGTGTAGAAGCCTGATTTCTGTAACTAAAGTCTACACCTTATTACATGTTTTACCTGGCTTGTCATTTAACTACAAAATCCATACCCCTCTATCTTTCGTAACTATATAGTTAGTCCTTTCCGATTCTCAATCTCAAGCCTAGACAGCAAACAGTGCTTTTCATCTCACTGCGATCTGGGGTGGAATCTACTAAAAACTTAGAAGTATTTCACTTAACATGGCTTAAACAGACAACGCAGCAAATGCAATCTCCCTTTTGGTCTTGTTTTCAAAACATTTCACACCAATGAAGCTAGGATGTCTACCACATTTTGATCTTTCAAAATTATCTTAAATCAGTAACTGCTAATACATTAAAAAAGTATTCTACATGTGAAAAACTGTCATGTGTAATTGTTCACAATAGTTTAAAGTAATTCTCTGTTGTATTTCAAATGCCTATGTAGTAACTAGAACCACATAACCTTAATCTATGCCAATGCTTTATCTGAAACAAAAAATCTTGGCTTTGAACTTATACCCTTCTACAGGGTTGATCTGTACCAGTGGTGATGAACCTATGGTACAACATGCCACACAGCACGCTGCTTAACACTGAAAGCCCCCAGTTTACCATCACTGTTCTAGTTTGTTAAAATGTAATGGTTGGGGTACCTTATACAACTCTCATGGAAACCCTCTTTCACTATCAAGATATCTGGTTTCACCTAGGTTTCAAATTATGTCAACTGAATAATCATCAAATTCAGTCTGCAACTAAGAGAAAAGTTAAAGATGTAGCTATACCTAGTGAATACAGTACAGGAGTTGACTGTTCTCACTAGCTGTAAGAAAATCAGAATTTTACATAAAACATCTTTGGACAACCCAAACAAATAGAAAATTTAGCATCCAGGGACACTAGCAAGTATGTAATAGTTGACAAGATATAATCACAGCTGTGCTACAAAACTCCCAAAGTTTGGGAACAGAATAATCTTACGTTAAGCAAGAGTTTACAAAGCAAAGATTAACCCAAATAATTAATCTTCTACCACTGTTCAGATTTCAAAAAGGAAATGTCACTTGTATTTTCTAATACATCTGTGCTATTGCTGTTTAATTTTTTAAAAGGTAACATTTAATACTTAGCAAATTTTCAGAAATCTCAAAGGCTATTTCCACGTCAGTATTAATTTATCAGCGTTAACCAATTTTGCATAAGCTTACATTGGCTATAAATGATCACCAAAACAAACAGCCATCAACAAGGTTTTTAATTACTTTTCAGCGAAGAGCTTTATCCATCTTTCAAACTAGATCACCCCCCTCAATTGCCATTACATACAACTGTCTTAGTCTCAAGTTTTTATCCTCCCTTCATGACTTTCACAATTAACAGACGACTAATACCATTTATTAGACTGCCTTTCAAGAGACTTTAATACATAAACACAAGTCAGAATCTTAAATTGATAGTTACAAGTCAAAATCTTACAAGAGGAAAAAGGACAACCATGCATAGTTTTTTAAAAAATGTTTATTTTTTCAAAGAAAAACGGCAATAGCCAATTGGAAACCTATTCATTCTTCAACTCCAATTTTTTTCTTTAAATTTAGAAGTGACTTACTGATTACTATTTTAAACAAACCCCCCCTTACCCCTTTAAGTTTTTACCATCTACTCGTGCTGAATCCTTCCAAGGAGATTGCTCCAGCGTATATCTCCAGGTCCTCGCTTTGCTCCTTTTACCAAAAAATGCAAAACACAATTCCATCGTGCATCTTAAGGGCTCCAATCGTCAAAAATAGGAAAAAAAAATCTTTGGAATAGCCAATTAAGTTGAATAAAAAAAATCCACACGAGTGCGGTTTGGTTGGGGCAGGAATCCACTCCTATGTTCCTGGTAATCTGATCCCGCTCCATGAATCCTTGTAATTCATCCTCCCTATCCTATCCACATTATGATTTGAATCCAATGATCCAGCTCCAAGGATTGGGATCCAGTGAGCCCTCTCCAATCCAAACCTTTATAACCAGCAAAACCAAAAAAGAGGAGGCAAAATGTTAGATACTGTAATCAAAAAAGGTTTCTGGGGAATGATGAGTTATGTCTGTCATCAGTTTAACAGATGTACATCAATAACTATCAAATTCCCCAAAACAAGCTTCTGAATGGTGTTCAGATAAATTTTAGAAACTTAATCATCATAGAGACTAACTGGAAGAAGCATTTTATATTTACAGTTCAACTGATAATGCCAACACTTGTTACTGTACAGCGTATTACAGGTTTTGTGGTTGCAGTTATGTAGTTGAAAAGTTTACTGATATTGTTACCCATCTAAATCTAAACTAAATCTAATGTTCCCATCTGCAATTTAATTTGTAAATTAAAGTGTCTTAATGTGAGTCAATTATGAATATTAGTTTAAAGGGGAAGGTGAGACTTAAAAAAGTACTCCCAACTAGATTATCTACACCAATACCATGGAATTCTATTATTTTGCTTTCATTTTGTCTTAAAAAAATGAAATAGCAACGCTCTTATCAGTCACACAGAGGACATGCAGATTTAGCAGTATTGATATTATACTCTATCTCATTGGTATTAAAGACACCCTGTACCCACATGTACACCAACAGCAGGTCACACATTAACAGTTGTAACTAAGCACTGTGACAAATTAGTCAGTTCTTCCCACATTAGTCCCTATTAAAACAAAAATGGGGGGAAGGGAGTAAAATAGTTACAATGGGCAATGTTATTTTGCCACAATTGCAAAGGTTTAAAGAGCAAGGCAATTGTAGCTTAATGATAACTGCATAAGATGTTTACAAGCGTTTTAAAATATTTTTTTTTATTTTCAACCCTTGCCTTTCAGTATAAGGTCAATACTGCCAATTTCATCTGTGACAATAGCACTTGGAGTCATACCATTGCCTCCATTATTGATCTGATCCTCCTCAATCCTCCTTTTGACAATCCTAAAATGATTGAAATGTGCTCCACAATCCTTAATCCAAAGCATTCTTAATCCATCTCTTCAGATATGTCTACAGAAAGACACATGAAAAGCAAGATAAACATAAGAACTTCCCCAGGTAAGATAACCACAAACACCCCCAACATCCCAGTTCACACAAACCAGAGCAGAATAGACATTTACACAATATCACAGTCTGAAGAGAATGGAGAATTAACTAAATTTAAACAATCCTGTCTATGACATCACTTAAAATACAATTTATCAAAGACATGAGGGGAATGTAGATGTTAGGAGCAAGGGGATATTACACAAGAATGCAATTCAACACTTTAGCCCATTCTGAACAAAACAGTTTGAATTAAAAAATGAAAAGATTGTACTGAATAAAGGAAAACTGTATACAACATGGGTTCTACAAAAAGTGTCACCAATCATCTTATGTACGAGAGCGAGATCTGCTATGACGGGGAGAATAGCGTGGTGATCCTCTGCTTCTCCTTGGGGAGTAACTGCGACTCCTGCTGTTGCTTCTGCTACGGCTTCTGCTACGACTACGGCTTCGAGATCGAGATCTTCCGTAACTTGGACTTCTGGGCCCATCAACTTTAACCCGGATGTAGGCAGTTTCTCCCTATTGGATAGACAGAACTTTCCATTGAAAGATCTAAGCTTTTCAGCTGTCTTTAGTCATGCTGAATGAATGAATACACAGTAACTTAAATTGGGCATTGGCAATTTACTTTTTGGACAGTCTTGCCTGAATCCTTACCTTCAAACTCCACTGTTAAGACCACTGAATCCAATTCTGGTCAAAGAAAAGAATAAGTGTATAACCTACCTCATGAGATCTAAACTTAGTGTTATCCAGTTTTCGAACCGCATAGGTCATATCTTCTTTCCGTACAAACTCCACGACACCAGTGCCATCTCGGTAAACATCAGCATAACATACATCACCTGCTTCACGCATGTGATCCTTTAAGTCCTGCCAGCTTCCACTTGGAGGAAGTCCTGAAAAGATGATTTTTTTTCCCTCAATACCAATTACTGTACACTTGATTTATACACAACAAAAATCGATTTAAAATATTTAATTTTGACCATATACAAGCATTTCCAAATCAGAGAGCTGATGAAAAGTTTGAGATCTAGACTCCAAATTTATTTGTAAAGGATCTTCATATTCTACTACCACAATTTAAGTATTTACTTACTAAATCCACCCGAAAACTGAAGGCCTAGCACAAAATACTTGCAACTGTCAAACTGGTCAGGGAAAGAAAAAAAATTTTTTGAGACAGGGTCTCAATATGCAGTTCGAGCTGGCCTTGAATTCATTTCCTAGCTCTAACTTGCAACTATCCTCACGCCTCAGCTTCCTGAGCGCTGGCATTACAGGCGTGAGCTACCATGCTTGGCAGGGAACGAAAAACTTTAAATCGCTTTTTGCCGCTCCTCAAGCCACTTTAGCACAAACTCACCAGAGACAACCACTCTGTTTTCAGATCGCCTGGATGGGGGGCCATAGCGGCCTCGGGGCGCTCCACCACCTCCACCCCCGCCGCCGCCTCGGCCTGTACCACGGCCGCTTCGAGGAAACTCCACCCGCAGACGGTAGCCGTCGTAATCGTAGCCGTCGCGACCGTACACCGCGTCTTCCGCGTCTCTGCGTGATCACAGAAACCAAAAGGATGAGAGAGGGCCGCAGCCCGAGCGGCTCGGCCGCCAGCGCCGCCGACCTGCGCACATGCGCGCCCGGCGCGGAGCCCACACGCGCCGCATAATAGAGCGGCCCCTCCCCCACCCCGCAAGGCGCCGGCTCCCACCACTTCGCCGGCCCTCCGCGCCTCAGTTTCCCGCTCCGGGCCGGCGCATGGGCTCAGGGGGCAGCCAAGACGCCTCATCAGCGGAGACACCACGCGGATTCGACTCCTTCGGGGACGCCATCGACTCGCCCCAGTCTCTCCACGAACCCCTCCTTCCCTATTATGTTAAGGCCTCGGGGCCTTTCCCAACTACCCTAACCTATTTGCCCGGACCGCAAGTCCCACGCTGCCTCACCGCGGGTCCTCGAACTCTACGAAGGCGAAGGGCGGTCCCCCGCGGCGATTTTTGAGATCGATGTCGCGGATAGCGCCGTATTTATAAAACACGTCCTCAATGTCCTTGGTTCGGATGTCTGGAGGTAAGTTTCCCACGTAGATGCGACAGTCGTTGTTCCCTGCCGGCCCACGAATCACACCACCTCCCGACATGGCGGCGACGAAAAGCGCGGACTCGAGAACGGACCTTCCCACCAAGCCTAGCGCACGGCAGAGCGAACTTGCAGCGGCACCACGTCTCCCGTGGCCTCTCCAAAATGGCGCCTTTATCTGCTTGGCGCACGGATATGGGGGGGAGGGAGGAAGAGAAGCGAGAGGAAGCGACTGTTCGAATTCAGTGCGCATGCGCAGGAGCGTAACGGGCTTTGGTAAGCTATGTTTACGCACGGCGACGTCACCCTCCGCACAAAGGAGAAAAAAAGTCCCTCTCAGCCCAAGCTTTGTGGAGTAGTTGCCTAGTGAAATGGCCAGGTATTTGGTGAAAATTAAACACAGAGCCCTCGTGAAAAAGGCTATAAATCTCTATAGGATCGTCAGGGGTAGTTTCTCCAAGAACGACCCTTTTCAAAAGCAGCCCGGGGGCTTGAAAGGACTCGGTGAAATCTAGCTTAGAACCCTATCCCGCCATGCTTAGCGGCATTAACGGCCGTTGGCGGGAAAGGCTACGTGGGCGGGGCAGGATCCGGGGGCGGGACTAACGGGGAAGGGCGGAGTTGTTGCTCCGGAAATCAGGGAAGGCTCTGCTCTGCCCCTAGTCGCGCCGCTGGGTTGCGGTGATCCAGTTGGAAAGCCGGACGTAAACCGGCTTGTGGCACACGCTTGTAATCCCAGCACTAGGAAGGTTGAGGCGGGAAGATCATGCGAATTGAAGGCCAGCCTCGACTGCATAACGAGACCCTATCAAAAACACCAAAACTAAGCGGATCTGGGTGGCACACATCTGTAATCCCAGCGCGGGAGCTGAGGCAGTAGAGAATTACTGAGTTTGAGGCCGGCCTGGGCTACTTTCTGAGTTCAAGGACTACCTAAATTGCATAGTGAGACTGTCTCAAAAGAAAAAAAAAAAATAATAAAAGGCTAAAACGAAACAAAACAAAATCAAACAAGGCAGGGAGTAACTAGCTTCACTCCCTTTGTACAAACAGGCTGTGGCTGCCAAGGCAATTGGGTGTCTAATTTAGAGAAACCCTGTTTGGAGTTCTTAATAAATACATGAAGTACCATTACTCTTAGGGTTCAGAATTTAGTTGTAGTCTATAGGCAAAGTGGCTGGGAGAATTAAACTCTTGTCATTCACCAGTGGCACCTGCCAACTCAAAGGGATGACACCACCATACTGCCTTTGGGACCATACTTGCTTTTCTCAGCCTGTTACTGGACTCCGCAAGAAGAATGAATTATTCCTGTTCTTTCAGAGAATGAGAAAGGAAAAAGGCCGTGTGTGCATGCAGAATTCTTAAGCTTTTCTTTCAGAAGTTATTTTTGAAAAGCTGGGCATGTTGTCATGGACCTGTAATTCCAGTGCTTAGGAGGCTGATACAGGAAGATCACTGTGAGTTCAGGGCCAGTCTGCACTAATAGTGAGACTCTGTCTCGAAACAAAACAAAAAAAGTTTCCAGCATTTGGGAGACTGAGACAGGAGGATTGCTGTGAGTTCAGGCCAACCTGAGTTACAGAGGCCACGCTGGCCAAAACTACAAAGACCTAGTCTTCAATAAATAAATACAGACATACATAGGGAGACCCTGTCTTCAATAAATAAAGTTACTTTTATACAAGAATTTTGAAGTCATTATTTGGCCTCTCATGTAATAATACAAATGAGCAAACTGGATGTGAGTACCATATCCTGTGGAGACCATGGTTGCTGCACTGGCAGTGACCTTCCTTACTTGATGGCCCTGGGATATCAAAACTCTTCCAACCTTATTCCAGAGATGTCTGAATTTTGGATTTTTAGGTGAAAGCATGGTTTTGTTTTGTTTGGTGCTTGGCATCAAATATAGTACATGGCCTCATGCATGAAATCATGGGATTTTTAGATGTTGTGATGACTGCTGAGCTTGGTGGTACGTGCTTGTAATCCCAGCATTTGGGAGGTTGAGGCAAAGGATCACTTGAGTTTGAGGCCAGCCTGGGATACATAATGAGATCAAGGTAAGCCTGGATTGCATAGCAAGACCCTGTCTCAAATATCTGGCAAGCACAATGTCCTAAATTCGTTTCTCAGTACAGTAAATAAGTAAATATAAATAAATGTTGGTTATCCATTTAAATTAAAAACAAAACAGAACCTTGCAATTATAAATATGCTAAACCAGCCAAGTGTGATGAAACCCATAGTCCCAGCACTTGAGAGGCTAAGGCAGGAGGATCACCATGAGTTGGAGGGCAAACAGGTTACATAGTGAGTTCAAGTTCAAGGCCAGCCTGAACTACATAGACCCAGGCTTAAAACAAAACAAAACAAAACAAAAAAAAAAAACCCAAAAGAATAATATTAATAAATAAATATACTAAGCCAGATCTGCACCCAGAATTCAAGGGCGATTTTCTCCATGTTATACATTATTTAACACAGTCCTCTCCAAAAATGTGAGGGTGATTACAGACATGCTACGGAACATTAAAATTGCGTGAAGTGATCAGAAGTGGGGCAGAAATGCCTGTAGGGAGAGTGATGAATTTCTAGAGATGGATGTAAATTTGATTGTGATCTTCTCAAAAGTCACAGTGGAGAAGGGAAGACGACACACCTGTAATCTCAGCTCTCAGGGAGGCTGAGGTAGGGAGATTTCAGTGAGCCCCACATGAGTAACTTAGTAAGATCCTCTCAAAATGTATTTATGTGTGTATATTGGCAAGTTTGTAACACATGTTTTCTTATCTCTTGTGGGGAATTGGTATATGTACATAGTATATTTCAATTTTTCTGTTCATTTGTTTCTCTTCCTGCTCTTCTGTGTCAAAATTTAAAAGGAGGCTGTAGACAGAGCTCAGTGTAATGGGGTAAAGGTCCTGGGTTTAATGCTCTGTAGCAGCCCATGCCTGTAATCCCAGCACTTGTACAGTTGAGACAGGAAGATCATTGCAAATTTAAGGCCAGCCTGGGTTACATAATGCTTTCAAGACTGGCCTGAATAGGGGTTGGGGATTTAGCTCAGCAGGCATAAGCGCCTGCCTTGCAAGCAGGCAGTCGTGGGTTCGATCCCTGGTACCGATAAAAACAAAAAAGGACCAAAAAAAAAAAAAAGACTGGCCTGAACTACATGATGCACACCTGCCTAAAAATAAATTAATTAATTAAAGTTGTTTGAAGTGTATTTTCCAAATGTTTCATAATTACTCCAAGTGCAAATTCCATTTGAGGATTTTTTTGTTTTTTTGTTTTTTTTTTTTTTTGTACTGGGGATTGAATTTATCACCTCATGCCTGCCAGGCAGGCACTTTTGCCCCTGAGTTAAATCCCTAGCCCCTGATTTTTTTTTTCTTGATACAGAGCCTCATTATGAACTCACAGTGTAGCCAAGTAGGCTTCAAACTCACAGTGAACCTCCTGCCTCAGCCTCCCAGATCCTGGGATTACCGGTGTGCACCATCATGCCTGGCTCTGATCTAATTTTTATCTATTAATTTAGATTGCTTCAGGCCTCTTTAGCTGATTAATATTAATTCAATGCTAACTGAGGTCATTTAACCTAGATACTTTTAATTTCAAGACATGTTCATTCTAGAAAAAACCATGGATTCACTTTGATTTGTTCTCATCTGTAATTTAATGAATAATTTCCAATTTTGTCAGTTCAAAGAAATACAAGTTGGAACTTCATAAGAAGTGAATAGGACATTTGAGCTTTTTTTATATTTATATTTTAATGTAATCAAAGGATGCGTCTTGACATTGAGGGTGGGATCATATACGGTAAGAAGAGTCTGGATGTCTATCAGGGTCTCCCATGCATATTTTAAATTGGATGCTCATCTAATCAAAGAATTGACTATATCAAATCTTGATGCTATTAGCTTGATTACTATTACAGTTAAGAATCCAGTCTTTCTAACTCTGAAGATTTTGTCATCCTTTGAGCCCTCTACAGGAAGAGTAGACTCAAGTATGAAACAATGCCTTTTTAATTGTGTCCTTTAGTATTGTAGATGTAGCACAGTACTGTATCATACCTCTGTGAATGTAAAATATCTCGTACATGCTTTACCATGTGTAGTAGTGACCTTGCTTTATCAGAGCTGTTTTTAATGATGTTACTCTAGAATGTTTTTTTTCTGGATGATGATTAAGAAGCTAATTAAAAAAAATGGTGCCAGGTACCACAACAGTATCAGAACTTTGCTGTTTTCTGGGTATCTTTCTTTCTTTCTTTCTTTCTTTCTTTTTTTAAAATGGAGTGTGCTGGATGTCTATAATTTTGTTCAAATGACTGAAGAACCTGGAAAAGCTGTTGCTGCTATTGATGCATAACATACTGCTATTACTGGTCTTTTTATATAAATATAAATGTATATACATAATTTGAACTTTTGGAAACTTTAACTGTGCTGTCAACTTTGGAAAAAGTTATCCCAGTTTACTGTGTTGAGTTGGCATTGTACAGAAATTAATAGCCATATTGGTCTAGAAACATTAAACTTAATTTTTTTCCATTTGTACAATTTTTTTCCATTTGTATTACATATGTAAGGTCTTAGCTATGTGGGTTTAATTACAGAAACTAGTAAAGTATTCTGTAAATAATGAAAAAAAATCGAGTCTTTTTGTGTGTGTGGGGTAGAGGGGAATCGAACTCACAGCCTCAACCTTGGCAGGCAGGTGCTTACACTGCCGAGCTAAATTTCCCTTCCAAGAACCCAGTATTACTGATATCAGTGTCCCCGAGTTGATGAACATATATAAGTTACAAGCTAAGAAAGAGATGGGGAGACAGAGACAGAGACACAGAGAAGGCAGGTAACCTAGAGTAACTGTCAATTAGAACAAAATGAGTCGGACCATTTTGAAGACTATCTCATTCATCTCATGGTGAGACCTGATGAGGGATCCCTGCCTCCAGAACACAGTACACCTCTCCAGCAGGAAAATCCACGCTCCCTGCACTTTGTGTCTGTTCTCTACCCACAGACTAATCTAAACACAAACTTCCTCTAAATGATATATTAGATGATTAGGTTTCTGTGGACTGAATTATAGTCATTTCCGGTTTTGCTTTCTGAAGTTACATTCTCATGTGAATTGGAGTTTGAAGCCAAGGGCAGGTTTCTTAACTTCTCAGTTATAC